AGGTTGTATACCAATTTCTTTCAAATGTTCCTGTGGTCCAATACCGGATAACATTAATATCTGTGGAGAGTTTATTGAACCTGCTGATAAAATTACCTCATTCCTAAACTTTACAGAGAAGATTTTTCCGTCTTTCCCCCTTAGTTCAACACTATGAGCTGTTTTCGTCTGATCATTTATCAATATTCTGGTTACGTGGGCATATTTAGCAACGTGGAGGTTTTCTCTGAATTTTGCTGGACTCAAAAAGGCTTTAGCTGTGTTACACCTTGTCCCATTTCTCAAAGTGCCAAAAACATTGGCGAATCCAAGCTGATGTTTACCATTCAGGTCGTCAAGATTCTCATAACCCAATTCCTTTGCTGCCTGTAGAATGATTTCCCCGAATTCGGTTCTCTCGTATTCTTCCAAAGTTAACGGCCCTCCTCTGGCGTGGTATGTGTCCCCGTTTGAATCTTTTCGGAGCAGCGTCTCGGACGTCATATCTTGGGATTTCTTAAAATACGGAAGGACGTCTTCATAGCTCCACCCGTTGTTTCCAGCTTTAGACCACGCGTCGTAGTCCCCCTTCATCCCTCTGACATAAATCATGTAGTTCAGTACACTGCTTCCGCCAAGAACTTTGCCCCTTGGCCAGTAGCAACGTTTATCTCTAAATCCCTGGCACATACCTTCCTCGGGTTCGGTTTGGTACTGCCAGTCGATATCTGTTTTCTGTAAATATAAAGACAGGGAGGGAATGTCTGACGTCGGGGTTGGGTCTCCCCCCGCCTCCAGAAGCAGCACCTTCCAGTGTGGTACCTCACTGAGGCGACTGGCAACCACAGCACCCGCTGAACCGGCCCCTACCACGATGAAGTCGTACTCGTCGAGTAGGTGGGACGTCGCGTCATCTGGGTAATCGTCCGGGTTTCCCAGTTGGCGCTGGGACTCCATGAGTGTCGTGATGAGACTGGTGAAGAGAACGGTTCCGACACCAGAAACTCCTGAAGTTCCTGTGCAACTTGAAGCTGATGTCCAGTGGCTTCCTGCAGTACAAGCTTCCTCCATGATGTGGCGTCAGTCTGGAATTGCATAATTTGTTGTAAATATGCATTCTGGGTTAAAGACTAAAAATAAACTGCTCTAATGCAAGTTTAAAGACATGCCCTTGATGACGGAAAATTGTAGTTAGCCACCATGCAAACCTGAGGAAATTATGAATTGGTAAATCAGATGCATAATGATGTTCGAAGATAGATATAGGTTATTCGTGATAGGATTGTAACATACGATTTAGGAATGGGCGTGTTTGAGACAAGTTTTCATCACGGCAACTGAGTTCGGAACACGACGTAATCTCTTGCTTGTGGCTTTCGGTTTGCAGAAAGTTATAAAAGTAAAAGTAAAGTTTGTCCCACTATACGCCATGTAGGCGTTTGGGGTGAGAGGAGGTATAGCTCCTCTCTTCCTTGACCTCGGCACTAGATGGGGGTGAGTGGTCAGCATCACGCCCCGGCCGGCTTTACCCCCGGGAAAGGACCCCGGTACCCATTGTAGAGGAGGCTGTTTGGGCCCCAGAGCCGGTCTGGACGCAGAGGCTAGAGAAAAAGATCCTCTGCCCCCGTCGGGGATCGAACCCCGGTCGTCCAGCCCGTAGCTAGTCACTATACTGACTGAGCTATCCCGGCTCATTTGCAGAAAGGTAACCTCATAATATCATAACAGGCAATGAAATGCTGCCGGACCCCGTTACAGCGCCTCTCTTTTTCCGCAACAGATCTCGGCGTTAAGCGGGATTGGCGGTGAATTGAAATCTCTGAATGTATTTCTATTTATCCGTGTCATGTGCTGTGCGATGTACTGTAATTACGAAGTTGAAGGTAAAAGAATAGCAAAATTGAGGCTCATTTATGTGTAATTTGCAGTACTATATTAGTGTAATAAGCTTAATACACACCATTTCTTGTGCACACAACTTGTTACACCCATCTACTTTCACTTGTTCCTTAATAATTCCGCTGTTTGTCGTGTATAAATTAATGATGCATCCATAAGGTTTTCAGGCATTGCACCCTTCAACAATTTCACACCTCAGCGTACTAATTTTTCCCATTCCTTTTTTGTTTACTAAGAACGTCTCCAGCTCAGCGACGTCTGATAGATGAGCTTACCCTTAGATGGGAGATGTAGTTGACACTATTTTTCTACCTCACGCTAAGATATTTTTCTTTCCAGCAACACTTTGCCACTATCCCTTGATTCATATCACACAAATGAAAATGATTGTGTTCATGCGCACCTGTGTCTGTGTGTTGTTCTTAACTTCCTTACTGGCGATTGTATCCAAATTGAGCTGTGCCCATGTACTCTACGTCATGTACTGGAAGAAAATTCACATATGAGCCTTCGCTACGGAAGAGTCCACTAGTCTTGTAAGACAACAAAGAATGGGCTCATCTATAACTGTTATACCGCAATTCATGGAATTTTCCAGTACCGGATTCATTTACTGTAAGTGAAAGAGAAATGTCTCAAATTATACCAATGATCAAAATCAATAAACCAAGTCGATTCCCGAGACAATAAAGATTGATTTTACCTGAACATATTTCATTTCGCAATACACAAATGACGTACGGTTTCACGAAAATATATGTGTAGCTGTTAGAAAGTCACATATGTGGCGCTGTATCGGATAGGATTTTAACGCTTAATTGTACACTTGTATTACCACATATTCTTGCGGTTGGCGTCTGATTTCCATATAGGTTCACACGGCGTCATAATTCAAAAACTTAATTTTAAAAGGTGTTTTAGCACTGGCAGAGAGCAATGGAACATGCACGTACTTGAAGAATCCTGCTTTGAAGGGCGTTCACATGCTTAGTGTCGATAATTCTTTGTTCAGCCTCGTATTTACCTGCACTCTCCAGAGTTACCTTTCTCAGACCCACGAGCTCTGTAAGCAGGTACTCTCTGGGCTCGATACCAATACACTGACTACGGAGCCTCTGTCACAGTCTTTCAGAT